GGTGAAAGGTACGTAGGTTGTCATTCCTTAGTTTAAGGTTAATTTGTTTCCTTTCGACCAATTTGATATCTTGCTACTGGTGTCTCGACACCAGTAGTGTCTAGAAAATGGTACAGACAGACCTTCATGGGCCGCACTTTTCGCAATATTTAGCCCGAGTGACAGTCTCAAACCCAGACTACCGCGATCCCGCCACCCGCTTCGCGGTGGATATACCGAAATAAGTTATTTGAAAAAGTTGCTTAGATATCGATTTTGACCATACATACCGAATTTCAACTCAAAATTCGAAATTTTCCCGTAATTTTCATATTCAACTCCGATTTTCGAATAATGGTTCCGAATAACAAGCTACAAAAATAATTAAATATTCTTATAAATAATAGAGAATTGAAAAATGTATCAAAATCGAGGGCGAGCTAGTTGAGGGATATAATTTTTGGAACTGACTTTCAATATTAGTATTTATTTCATTTCCAGTTGTATTCGCTTCATTAATTGTCATTTATTTTTCACCGATGTCTCTGTAGCTTTTCAGTAACTAATAATAAAGGATATTAGGTTTTTCGTTCCCAATCCTGTATTATAACGAATTTATCATTTTCGTAGCTTCTTATTTAGAACCATTATTGAAAATCGGACTTAAACATTAAAATTAGAGAAAAATTTCGAATTTTGGGTTGAAATTCATTATGTAGAGTCAAAATCAATTTCTAATCAACTTTTCCAAATAGCTTGTTTCGGTATTTGCATCGCAAAACAAAATATTGAGAACTTACCCTTTTTGCGAGATCGCAGTAGGCTAAATTCAAGGCTGTCACTCGGGTTAAGTATTGCGAAAAGTGCGGCCCATGAAGGTTTATGCCTGTTTAAAAAAATCTGTTTAAAATCTGTTTTTCCGTTAATCAGCTGTCGCCCCCATACGACAACTCTCAGAAGTTGAGAAACTTGTGCGAGCTAAGGACTAACGAGGTCTTACCTTTTAACGCGTGATTCCTAACACGGTTGCAGAATCATCCCAGCTTCAGTCAGATAAATTCTCTCGAAAAAAATATCTGGTCGAGGCGGGAATCGAACCCACGGCCTTCCGATCGTGAGTCTGGTGCACTACCACCGCGGCCAATTCTACAACAACTGCTTTCAAAAATGACAGGGGTATTTTAATTTTAAGTGTGTCACACTGTAATTTCTCGACACATCCCTGTCAGCATAAAGTAGTAGCATGCAATAGTTTCTGTTTTTCCATTAACCAGCTGTCGCACCCACTATTAAATATTTCACTGTTCGAAAGTGATTTCCAGCGAGAACAGAATTTCATGGAACAAATTACCGTCAACAATGGTTTCGAAGTGAATATTATCGACCCCATTCTTCCCAAAAAACTAGAAGAACAAGTCATATACTAGGTTGAGCCACCTTAAAAAAAGCGTCAGTAATTTATTCATTTCATTAAAGTGATCATGAATTACCATAAAATAAACAAGTCATCAATCACACATATTGTTAAAATATAACTGATTGATTTGTAAAATGTTAACTGAACGATTGTGTTTCATAAGTCATCATTCTTTTTCGGAAAATTGCAGATATTGAAAAAAATTAATTCTTATCATAATAGGCTTTGACTTTGATGTTTCTAAATTTGACTTTACATTTGTTGCACTCAATGACATTTTGTACAAGTCATTGATTTTTTGGCGAAAAATAGTTTTCACGAATGAATAAAAAAGAAATATGATACAAATTGATTATAAATACGATAGTAACAGTGTTAGGACATCGGAAATGTATTTGAACTTGTTTCCCGAAAGATGACTACATCGAACTATGTTGGATCAAAATCTCACCAATTTTGGTTCATTTGAAAAGCCGAGGAAAAATACGGAGACAGAATCAACAATCAAAATTTGATAAATGAGGTGTGTATGAGGTAAATTAGACATTGTGTCGTTTTCAATGAAAATAAAACTTTGAACAAATAACAATAATTAACTAAAATATAAAAACAAAAGTAAATCACAGCAAATGCTCAAAATGCTGGTCTTGTTCATGATAACACAACTGTGCCCTTCTGCAAATATTATTCACTGCACGATTAATTTCAATCTTCCGAACTCTCTAACAATGCTGTGTTGAAGATCCTCGATAGTTTGATATTCCTTCTGACCAGTGTACCCCATAAGAATGTATCCATAACACCTAAGTCTGGAGACCTTCTTGGCCACCTCACCGGCCTATTATTCCCTATCCATTTATCACCAAACCTTTCAGTCAGGTAATCAGATACTCGTCTGGTAGCGTGCGGTAGATCATCCAAATAGTCTTTGAAAATCGACATTAAAAACTGGTGATAGGTTTCTCCATTCAGAATTCCGTCAAATGAGGATGCAAAATTCTATCTTTGTAAATTCCTGCCCACACATTAATACTAAATCGCGCTTGAGGTCAAATTTCTCGGAACTGCCTGAGATTGTTTATGCTCCAAGTGTGTTCATTATCTCGGTTGAATATCCCACAATTCGTAAAAGTGCTTTCATCTGTCCAAATTACATTTTTCAGGAAAACAGAAAAATCAGGTCTTTTTATTAGCCAATTATAAAATTCTAATCGCCGTTCAGGATAACCTGGATCCAATTTTTGAGATATGTGTATTCTGTTACATTTTAAACTGCTTTTTTGAGATGTCTCCAAGCACTTGTATGACACATATTCATTTCGTGACGTGTAGATTTCCTCGGGTTCATGTTTATCTGCAAATTATTCATTTTTATTGAAACTCACCTCATACATACCTCATTTATCAAATAACTTGAACCTAGATCGATGTGGTTGTCATATTTCGGGATATAATATCAAATACATTTCCGATGTCTTAACACTGTTTCTATCGTATTTGTAATGTATCATGTCTCTTTTTTCTTCATTAGTGAAAGCCATTTTTCGCCAAAAATTCAATGACTTGTAGTGTAATCGAGTGTAATATTTCGAAAGACAAATTTAGAAACATCAAAGACAAAGCCTATTATAATAAGAATTTTTTTTCAATATCTCCTATTTTATGAAAAAGAATGATATCTTATGATCCATCATTGAAAAGGTAAAATATGGTTTTATTCAAAACAGAATGAATCCAATGTAGCGTCTATAATAAAAAATAAAGTTGATGATGTGGCCGGAAGACGAAACGTCGAATAGCAAATCTGAAAACACCATTATGTATCAGGGAAAAAGTGGCAACATAAAAGTGCAATTTATTTCCGAATCCTTCAAAAAATATAGCCAGAAAAAAATGAAAACCAGTTTCCGAATTTTCTGTTTTTTCCGGATATCTCCGGATATACTCGGAATTTCAGAACTTTATCAGCGGTATATTGTTAGTTAGGTAAATGCGCAACTTTACTCGAATTCAGCCATCTTCGTATCTCTCATAGTTTCCGAGATCCCAATGGTGAGGATCAAATTTGAAACACCCTGTATACTTGTGATGCACTGTTTGAAACCTTTGATGTAGAAATAGTGAAGAAAGAAAGAAATTACTGGAGTTTCATCCCAACACTAAACCGATATGTTCACCATCTCGACACGTGTTTCAATGAAGTAATCATCTTCAAGAGAAATAATAAACTGAAGAATAAACTGAAGATTAAACTGAAGATGATCACTTGGTGATTGAAGCACGTGTCGAGGTGTTAAAAATAACAGTTTGGTGTTGGTATAGATCTCCAGTAATATTGATAATAATATATCTTCGATATGTAATTTTCTACATTTTCCACGATGAAAAGTTACAAATGTCAAGGAATAAGAAGTGGTTCCTTTGTCATATTTAAACATGAAATCATTTTGGATGAATAAAAACGAAAAAAGCATTTGAAACCTTTTTTGACATTCCCTCAAAAACTGAAATAAGTGTCACTATTTTTCGGATTTGAAGGCCGTCTATTTTTGGAATTTCTTCCTGACGTTTCGCTGGCGCGAGTGGCTAGCTTCTTCAAAGGTTTATAATCCTGAGTAATTTCCGATGACTGGATATTACGACTTCGTAAGGTGTATTTTGTACCTATAAAGATGGAGAAGTAGAAAGCCAAAACCTTCATTTCCCAACAATCAATCGCTTCTACAAATAAACCTCTTTCAATTTAAACAAGATTTCTAAGGCTGGTATTCAATCAAATAAGGGAATGAATGTCATTACGCACTGTCATGGATGGCATGAGAAGATTTAACTCATTCGTGACATAGGGTCGTAATTTTATGAATGAACTGACTGATTCATCTCGTAATGTTATCTATATTGGTAGGGGAAGGTAGGGTAAAGTGGCCACCCTAAGCTTTGAACCTACGCCAACCGAATAAATGCCAACCTTTTTACTAATCTATATAATATAAATAACAACCTCTTCATTTGTGTTTGTTCATTCATAATCGTACCTAATAGGAAATATTCTTAGGAACAAAATTTATGATGACATCGTTGTCATCACAATCCATGGGTCCATCGCTTACAACTAGAACACTGTATCCAACCATCTTCAAGTTTTGATTTAGACCAAACTTCGCCACAGTGAAAGCATTCAGGGTCATCATCTGTGTCACCATCATCGTCAGTATATTTGTCAATTTTTTTTTCAGCAATGTTGGGGCCACGTGTTTTTATTTCAGTTTTAAGTTTTTTGACAGTTTTAGTTGGGGTTGGTTCAATAGTAGCTTTTTAACTCTCTTTGTAGCTTTCTTCTGTTCTTGCTGTATTGTTTCTTCTTGCAACTCATTGTTATATGGACTGCTTGTTAAAATTACCGTACGCCCTCTCTTTCTATTCACATTTCTAGTCTTAGGCAATGCTTTGGAAATCGGAAATATGTTGCAAGGCGATATTGCGAAGGATGTTCTGGGTTGTGGGTTTAAGTAAAGATCAAATTTTCAAAGAACCATTCAGGAATTATATTCTAGAACAAGATGCATGAAAATACCAAGTATTTTTCTGTAGAGTTGGACATCAGTCTAGTCAGCTATGAAGTCAGATAATACATCAGCTAAAATGTCAAAAAATCAATGAGTTATTAGAAACTAAAAATATCAACTCTAGTAATTATTCAAAATTCACAATGAGCGACAAGGAACCGCAAATAAAAACCATCCCACAAGACGCAAGATATCACAACTGTAACGCAACCAAATGGTGTTTTGCTACCTTTGTTGATTTCCATAAATGTAAAAGACTCCTAGGGGACGGGTAAGATCAAATTCAGAGCTCTAACTTTACCCCACACATATAGAAAATATAATAATTTCATTTGAAAACCTAATATATACCTATATATTTGACCTAATATTTTTTATGGACACAAATGTGACTGTGTTGGCATTTAAATGCGAATAACAATTTTTTATTTCTTCCCGTGAAATTATTTTCACTCCTGAAATTTTTCCAAGGAAACACGATAGACATATTGTTGAATGGGTAATTTGATTAGGAGTATCTAAATTTGCTGAGCTTGTGAAACTGATTTCAAAATCAGAATAAGTTTTATCACAAATATTGGTAGTTCATAGAAAATTATTTGTTTTAGAAACGATTGCTGCAACCAATTTTCCCAAATTTATAAAGCCATTTGTCCCAATGAGTGGATAAAACGATGGGAAGAACAAATGGAAGTTGGAACTTTTCCTGTCGATTTACCTTCAAAAAACAATGATTGTAAACAATATTTAAAAAAATAAATGTTTCTGAATGAAATGTAAGTACCGCTTTTCAAATCGAGAATGAAGGAAACATTGCAAAATAGCATGGGGTACGTTAAGTGTATATCATAATAACGTTACAGTGTGAGGACAAAATAAAAAATGCCATACAATGCAAGAGAGTTTTGCATGATTTGAATACGAAATCACATCAAATTTTGATCAATTATTGCGTTTTTGGGTGAATAGCAAAACTCAAAACACTTTTATTTCACGTTCCATTTATTGCCGTGTTTATAGAAGAGCGCAAAATATTTTTACGTTCTGTTTATTGTTTCATTAGGTAGATAGGACAAACTCTTTTATATAAGATGTCAAGTGTGGAGTACCTCAAGGATCAAGTGTGGAGTACCTCCAGGATCAACTTTGGGTCCCATCGATTTTCTCTTTCACATAAATGTCTCGCATACAAAAACGGCAAATTCACAATGTTCGCCAATGACACCACAATTCGGTGGCATGAAAAGAATATAAACACCCATCATGACAGTTTGAAGTGTGCTCTCAAAACCGTAAAACTGTGGTGTGATGCCAATCTATCAGCCTTTAATACAAGACACACGAAAGTACTCACTTTCAAGTATACCTTACTAGAGCTACTTTTAGGGGGGACCACTATTATAGATAGCTCATCCAAAATAATATTGGATGAGCTATCTTTAATAAATGGAACACAAAAATTTGAGTACCACATAAGAAATGTTTTAAAAAAATAGCTTCAGACATTGATGAGTTCAATAAACTACTTCTAGAAAAAACCTTCGAATTTTGCATTATATATTGCTGAGAAGTAAAATTATGGTTAATATGCATTTATAAGGCTCCTTCATCGGACATAAATTTGTTCTTGAAACACTTGCATTCAATACTCCTGCAACCAAGGCCGTAGCCAGGGGGGGATCAAGGGGGATTTAACCCTCCTGAAAGTTCTACAAGCAACGGCCATCCAAAAATGATATCAAATACAACGATTGGCTTGTTTAAACATCACAGAAGCCATGAGAATAACACCAACCGCGGCAATGGAATTGATTACTGGCCTGACCCCTCTGGACCAATATGTTAAGGAGGTTGCGTTAATGGCCATGTTACGATTGTGCTCGGCTGGTGTAAACCTTGAAGTAGGAATGGGTCAATTGAGGCTGAGCCTATGGCAAGAAGCGCTCATTTCGCAACCTCTGCTGCAGGCAACCAGTGATGCAATTGTACCCAGGTTTGTGTTTAATAAACCCTACAAAAAAAGAAAAATCTGTTTTTCCGTTAATCAGCTTTCGCCCCCATACGAACGACAACTCTCAGAAGTTGAGAAACTTGTGCGAGCTACGGACTAACGAGGTCTTACCTTTCAACGTGTGATTCCTAACATCTTAAACACAGAGTCAGAACAAGAGTCAGATGCTACAAATGCATATATACAGATGGCTCAAAAACCAAAGAAGGTGGAGTGTACTTCAGATCACTAAGCCTAAGGATTAAGTGGGGAATGGGAAAAAATACCAACGTGGTTCAAACGGAACTACAGAAGACAACGTGTACTAGTACTAAAGTGTCACCAAATCGCCAAAACCTCGGTAGATAATAACATTATCCTGAGGTGGATGAAAAGGCACAACAGGAGTAAATGTAATCGCATTGCCGACTCTTTAGCTAAGGAAGCGGCTGGACTAAGAATTTTAGGACCCAATGGCACCTACGGCCTGATGACTTCGATAATTGAGGAACTATGCAAACGTTACACCCATGCTCAATCCCTAAAGAGATGGGATGAAATCAAAGGATGCAATCTTGCCAGAATCACTCTGGGCGACCCTGGGAAGCTGACGCCGAAAAAATATCTAGCGATGACCAGGAAAAATCTACGCTTAACAGTAGGATTTCTGACTGGCCACTGTCAACTGAGGAAACAACTCTACAATATGGGGCTGGTGGACACACCTCTATGCAGGATGTGTAAACAGGAAGATGAAACTGTCAGGCATGTCCTGTGCCCGGTGTTATCGTCAATAAGAGAGTATGTGTTCGGCGAGTATTGGCCTACACCTGCTGATATAAAGGAGATGTCTACTAGTGACCTGTCCACCTTCCTGGAAAGGACAGAATCGACGATGACCTAGGAGGATAACTCCTTGGGAGGATGTACAATGGGTCATATGTGACCTAAGTGCTGTGGGCCTACACTCACCCTTCCTACTCTACAGATACAATTGGAATTATAAAATCCGTTAGAAATTTTATCAATTCCTTGGCAAAACGAACCAAGTGTTTGAAGGAGAATATTGAAAAAACTTCCCCGAAACACAATGGAAAAACCTGGCAATGTGCGTACAACCTTTCAAAGATCTTGGCGACACTACCTGTTTCCACATGTACCCCTGAAAGGACTTTCTCTTCTCTGAAACGCCTCAAAACTTATTTAAGAAANATCCATGACTAATTCTGAAGATATAATATGGGCCAAACTCAATTTTTCAAATGGAACATATTTTAGGATAGTTTTGGAATTCCGAGATGATGTTGACTCATTTTCATGAAACATCCCTTATATCAAAAATCAACTGTTGACGAGATATTTCAGTTTTTCTTGAAAAATTAAAACATGTGCATGTCCATCATAAAACTATGGGCTATGAAATCTTCATTTCGAACAGTTACAGAAAGTTTACTAGATCTTTTAGTTTGCCGTCATGGTTTGTATTGAAGACAGGATTTTAGATAAATAAATGATGAAATAAAAATCTTTATTGTAAATGTTTCATAAAAGAGCGAAAATTCAAAAATATTGCATTGTCTTTTCACACAAAACATAAAAACTATTCCGAAATATGTTCGAAAATATTTCCGTTAACTTCCAGATGTTTATCAACTCTCTTCAGTAAATGTTTATTTACAGAAAGAGTAATTCCATCAGCATCTAGGGCAAAACTTATTAAATAAATTATTGTATGATTGAATCTGGTGAAGCACGTAGATTTTGAATGAACATACAATAAATAATTACTTCTAGGAAACAGGTACAATATTGGCATTTTATGTCAAAATTCAATTAGATAGATGATTAATTTTGGCAAACAGGTCCTTTATTTTCTGTATGTAATATGTCCTAGTCCATGTTAAAATCGTGTTCACATTCATTCTCTGAATGGTGGCAAGCATATATGGAATTAGTTTTCTTCAGCTCAAAACATGCAATTTGAAATTTTTTGAAGCTACAGCTACCGGACTGAGTCATGACCGGTGGGAGAAATCGTATCAAATCTTCACGAGTTTGACTATTTAAAATATGTTTATGGCAATTTACTTTCAAATTCCATCACTAATTGAATAGTCCTGAATTTGGATGTTTACGGCTCGAAAAATCTAACAGACTGATAACAGACTTCTACACATCTACTACACAGCTTGAGGGAGGGGCTTCTCACCGGCTATGACATCTACTGCACAGCTTGAGGGAGGGGCTTCTCACCGGCTATGACTCAGTCCAGCAGCTGTAACTAACACTTATTGAAAAGTGACAATTGAGAAAGTTAAGTCTAACCATTGTTGAACGAACAAACAGAGTTTTTTAAATTACCATGAAATGTGAAATACAGTTTATGGATTTCTGCAAGGCAGTTTGTCAAAACCATATGATTTCTATAAATTCAATTTAATTTTTAGTTTTTTTCATATTCTTCTATAGGTTATATTACTTCAAGTTATAGTAAGTTGAGCATCAATGTGAAACCTATTGTACTTGAAGAAGTTACTGGTAAACATGGTGGTGACATTCCATTGGCTCCGAACCGTTTGTAAATGTCGGCTTCGTCAGACTTAGAGAATCAGCACAAGATTCTATAGAACAAACATTTATTCATTTCTGAAAGTTATTGGTTATGCATGTTCATCTACAAAAAATGTCTGAATTGAATTTATCAAGTCACAATAAAATATTTCACCGGAAAGGTAAAGGGGTTACCGAAAAAACGTATAATAAATATGTGAATCAGACTCTGCAACTATGGAGACTATACCTACAACAAACGACGATGATTATGGTCGTCGAATTGTTCAATTAAAATCATTAGGGAAAAAAATGTTTTGTATTTATTGTGAATTTTTATTATCAGTAACGGATATCGTATGCAAAAAAGTATTGGATTGGCATCGATTAGAATAATTCTTAAAGTTTTCAACGTGTTTAATAATAAATTTTTGGAACATTGATGATGCTGTAATTTATGTATTTATTTGAGGTTCTATCAGTGCTGGAGTAAGAAATACCCATTTAAACAAGATATTGACTGACTGACATCGATTTACTGACAATAGAATCCCGACATATCACATCATAACCTTTTTTGCAGCGTTGCCACATCGTTTTTTTTTTATTTAGAAATATCGTTGCATCCACCACAAGGGTTATTAGCAACATAGAAAAATATATGTTACAAGCGGACATTTTTCTTAATTATTTTCCTAATTATCTGTACTGTACAGACACGCCTAAAGAAGCTATTGATAGCGAAACATGTGTTCCGTTTTTGTAAAACTGTTTAGTGAGTCTTAAAATGGAGTGTTTCTTAAATACGTTATGGATTTTCATCATGTATCGGACGATTCCATCACATAGCCAATTCTAAAACAGGTAGTACTACCCTAATTGTTTGTATTACTTTATTGAATTAGTGCACAATCCATTTTAAGAACCCATAGGACTAACAACAAAATATTTGCCTATACCGAGAATTAATGTGTTATTAAAATCCCCAGAATATAACATCTGTAAAATTCATAATAGTTTCTATTCAGATTGTTATATTTTTGTTGTTCCATTTGGATGTTTCAAATATACGTTTAATTCGTGACAAGTTAATTTGTAAGCAAGTCTAATTACGAGATGAGTGCTATCGTAGATATATTTCAAAAACCGAAAATAATATGTCAACTAATCCCCGATACTTCTGGAAATATATTAATGATAAGAAGAAACTTTACAATCTCCCTTCCCGTATGGTTTATGATGATATCTCTACTGATAACGCTAATAAAATAGTTAATCTTTTCTCAAAATTTTTCTCAACAATTTATGACAGCACTACAGTCAATGAAATCCCCAAATTCAAATTTCAAAATGTAGCTGACGTCTGCCACTATAATATAGATATTAAGGAAGTTATAGATTTAGCTTTGAAACTACCATTTAAACTAACAACAGGTCCTGATAAGATACCCTTGCACCTGATTAAAAATTGTATTTATACTCTAGCAAAACCACTACACTGGCTATAAAATATATTTGTAAAAATTGGCTTGTCCGTTGAAATAAATAAATAAATAATTACAATCCATGAAGGCAAAACACCGTGTTTCAACTCTGCACACTGCCAATTCAATTAGAATTCTACAGTATATGTTTTTTTTGATCACTATGTATGTATCAGTGTTTGTATAATATACTATTCTATTAGTCTACTGATTTTACATGCTATCGTATTAAATTTTACTTATACTTATTCATAGCTGTAAACTTGATTATATTTGTCTTGTAATTGGGATTACTCCTGTTAGACAATAAACCCCCCCTTTTTTATATAATTTCATAGTTAAGTTATCGATTTTAAATCACCTGTTCAATATTATTCTTATATGTCAGTACAGAAAAGTCTATTCAACTCAAAATGATACACATATTTTCTTATACCTATACGTTTTTTTATATTTGAAGCTTTCTATATAATTAAAATCACTTGTACTTTTCACCATTGAACAGTAAAACTGTACAGAATACAGAAAAACAACTCATGGATGGTCCTATCCAGTATCTAAACATACTTCCCAAAATATTTCATATCTGTTGGAGATAACCACCTATAACATCCTCCTATGTTATTTTGTATTAGATATTTCATGGTATAAGGGTTTTGATTATTTTCTTCCTCCCATTTTTCTTGATTCCTCATATCATCGAGTATCTTCTGAGATACAGCCGTTGCTTTGAAGGGTAATTTCATAGCTATGTCTACTAAGAAACGTTCTACTTCTTTATATTCGCATTTACCTCCTACTTCCAGGATGATACGTCCTACAAAACATTCACCAAATAGAGAAGTATCAGAAATTAATCCCTAAGTAATAAGGTAAACAATCAAACAAGTTAAATTGCCATGATTATCATAAATGTTGATAAAAATCGCTTTTTTGAGATTTTCATTTTAAAACTTGTCCTGTTTGTTTATATGGTATAAGTTGTTTCAGAAGTTCTATTCATTATTTTGAGTCTACTTTTAACTGTAATTTAGCTATTCATTCCTATTTTATTTGTGAGCTTGTAGTGTTTTCGCTGTGGCGATGGTTTTAGTGTTCGCAAAGTCTATATTGTGTCCTGTCTCTTGATGATGTTTACACAGGGCAGACTTTTGGACAGCAAGTTGATGTATGTATACTCTACTTGTCACACGTCTGTTGGTCTGGCCTACATATGTTAAATGGCAATCGAAGCATGGAATTTCATATATACACCGAGATTCATTGACATTTTTGTCCATAGGGGAACGGAGTAATGTGGAAATTTGATTGTTGGCGGTGAATATCATTTTTATATCCTGTTTTTTTTTTAAATTCGGCAAATTTTGGATCTCTGGTATCCACTCCTGGGGATCCAAAAGACATCAATGTTCTCTACAAAGCTTTCCTTCCCTAGATTAAAGGTGTTACTGACAAAATTGGCCGAATTCTCAAAAAACGGGACATAAAAACGATCTATACCGCCAACAATCAAATTTCCTCCGTTCCCCCAAGGACAAAATTGCCAATGAATCCCAGGGTATATAAGAAATTCTACGCTCCGATTGCCATAGATCATATGTAGGCCAGACCAATAGACGTATGACAAGTAGAGTATGAGAACGTCAACTTGCTGTCCGAAAGTCAGACCCATCTTAAGCCCTGTCCAAACATCAAGAGACAGGACACAATATAGGCTTAGCGATCACTAAGACCATCGCCACATCGATAACACTATAAGCTCGGATGATTCGCGAGGCTATCGAAATCGAAAAGCGACCTTCTTGTCTGAACAAACATGATTTTACCGAGTTGCCTTACATACATGCAGGAGAAAACTAAAACTCGGGATCACTTATTTCTGCTTTTTAATAATAATCTTTATTCAAAATAGACATCCTAATATACAAATGATAATATGATTGTGAATATTAAATAAAATTTTAGACGAAATATATAATATTATTAGATGTTAGATATAGTATTAGATATAACATGCGAAAATAAGAAAATGTACTAGTGGGAAAATGGACAATGAAAAGAAAACAATAGATGCAGATCTTAATCTAATAATTCTGTGATCTTATTTTCATTATCTTCCTTAAGTTTTACTTCTTGTACACTCCCTTCTTCCTGAAAACTTTCTCTCAACAAATATCGAGTCTTATTTCTTGAATCATATCAAATCGATCTAAGAACTTTTGAATGTTATAGGAATAGTTACAAACTTGACATTCACTCATTACTGAGGTGAATTTATGGTTAAAAACTAATATTTTTTTTGTTTCAAAATAAATTTGTCTGCCAGGGAAATGATAAATACTGTAACAAATTAAAGAATTAACTGTCTTAAACAAATTCATTTTCAACAATATTTCACTATCACAACTAATGTATGTACAACACTTAGCAACTAACGCTTAATTTATCATCACAGTTAGATTTCTTCCTTTAAACGCACGATTCACTTTCTAAGTACAGACTAACTGACTGACTAGAAGCGGCGCCTTTTTATAACGGCAACGATCGCTCCGCATCTCTCTAGGGATTTCGAGACTCATCTACACCTTTCGCGATGTTTCGCGATGAGTCATGCGTTTGCTGACTGAGATATCGGTCAGGGCCGGCTTCAGATTCATTACAATATGTTCTATATTTTGGATGAATGTGATATACATTTTTTTAGATCCTGTAGAATGTATGGAGTTCAATATCGTGACACAAGCTCCATGTACGATTATAGAATTTTTAGAGGGTTGAAGAAAACTTTGAGAATTTTGCAAGTGGTGAATAAAAATGCAACAAATGCAATCACACCCAAGACATGAAGAAATACAGAAGTTTTTCTTTTATTTATTCGTTACAAACTCCAGTTTGTGGGGAAATTGTAGAAAGACCTAATTTGTGCGTGGCTCAAAATGGACGATTGTTTCAAAATCTGTTATAAATTTAAACTTTTTGAAAGTGAATTGTTCAATTTGTTCACTTTTTTCCAGTATTCAATAAAAAAGCTGTTATCGCTTCGATTTAACAAGTATCTCATACTATCCTCAAGAATCAGATACATTTCCGATAGAAATGAAGTAGTCAAACCTTACATTTTCGGCAAATTCATGTACCTATGAGCCGTGTTTTCTGATATGGCCTTATTTACAGGATATTTCACTTTGAAAAAAAACTAAGAAAGATGTGATCCCAAGTTTTGCTCACCCTTGTATCGATCAAGCGCCACTAAGTGAAATTCTGAACAGGAAATGAAAATGCAAGATCCCTCATTGATATTTTGTTGAAAAATATTAATCTTCCATTCGATCAAGTAGGAGATATTCGGTATTGAATAAACCCATTTCGAGACCTTAATCCCAACTAACCCTCTATTGTTGAAAACAATTATTTTGAAGGTAATCAATCTTTTGAAAACATATAGCGTTTAAACGGTTACAAAACACAACTTTGATATACATGGGCAGCACACAGTTCAAATTCCTGAACAAACATAAGATAACATGAACATAAGGTTACCAGTTTCAATCATCATTGAAAATGTACTAAGAAGTATGACTGAGGATCAATCAGCTTATGCAGCTGAAATCAATATACAGTGTCACCATTAAAGTGCGCACCATATGGGAAACTTTTTTTTCGAAAAGTTTCAATGAAGTTTAACTTCGGCACTTGTTTGTGCTTTAAATTTAACTTGAAATGATGCGACCAACTGCGACCCACTGACGTTCAGTGTTTGTTAAATTCAACTTTTGTTTTGAAAAAAATTGAAAAAGTGCATTTCTAGATCGAATTTAACAAAAAGTTACTTGAAAAAGTTGTGATTACGCCAATCTTATATTCATATGCCAAATTTTATGCAACTAGGATAAAGTTAACGTTTTGCTTATTTTTTTTGACAGATATCCCTCTTCATTTTAAATAACAAGTTCGGTTAATTGTCATCAATTCATGTATACATAACAAACTCATCATGGAGTTTAACTTTTCTGATACATTTTCACTTATACAGACATTTTTAGAGAGAAATTAAAAATTTGCTATAAAAATTTTAACATGACTGGTGCAAAGTTTCAATCACTTGGCTAAGAAAAAAAAGTTTCCCATATGGTGCGCACTTTAATGGTGACACTGTATGTAATTAACTAGGGATCCGCCCCGGCTCGGCACGGGTGCAATGCTGATACAAATTATACATATAAACGCGTGCGATCGCTGCTAATTATAAAGTGCTCTAGGGCGAAGATCGGCCTTCAGACGTCGAATCCCCGGCCGATACCGCCGCAACTCGGCGGGCTGGCTGTCCTTTTCATCTTTCACTGCCTGAACCACTGTGCATACTGTTTTTGGCGAGTGCATTGGCTTGGGATGTGGGGGCTGAGCAAACCGGCCATCGCACAACGATAGCTTAATCCTGAGGTGTGGGTATCCGTCACGAGAGGATGAATGACACTGAGCCTATCAGCTGTCTCTACAGAACCTTTGAGATACCGGGCGCCCTCTCGTCGTGGCATCGAGTTGTCAAGGTAATGAGGAGCCCTGCCATGATTGACCTTCTTTCCCTAGCTACTCGTGGAACTTTTATGGACAGAGTAAACTTAAAAATTCTTTCTGACACTGAGTCTACAGAGGAGGTGGATGTCGAGCATACGACTCCAACTGATCTCCCTGAATATTTTAATATACACCTTATAATTTTGTTCTGAAGTTTTTTAATTGGTTTCAATAAGGAATTTGTTGCNTGGCGTAGAATAAATTCAAAAACAAACACAAATGAAGTTGGAGTCTTCCTTTTTCTTCATCTCCTGAAGACGCCAACTTGGTTGGTGAAACAAGAGTCGAGAAAAGTATTTAAGGTCTGGTGAATGGGAAAGCTGCTTGTTTTTGGGATAATCTAGATGATTTACCTGATTTCACAGGAGTCACATAATGGTCAATGGCACCTTTTCCTCCTCCCATACGTGTACCTAGGCCCTGTTTTGTCAGTGGTTGCCATGGTGCATCAACTCTCCAGATGGCAAACATACGACTGGCGTCTATTTTTCGACCAATAATCTGACGCATCATTTCAAAGTGTCCCCATTTCAATCGGCCTCCTCCTAATGCCTACAGAAGAGAACAACATTTTGAAATAAAAGAGTGTTGATACACAATTACAACTTTATTTTTGGATTATTATTAAATTAGCTCTTCAAAAATGGGCAACTCCTCCAAAATTTATTATGCCAAGCAACAGAGACACAACTCCAGATGTATTACTACATACAAATAACATTATATCAAATATTACAAATGTTGAGGTAACACCCGATATAGGATCTGATCATTTAGCTATCAAAATATCTTTCGACGTGGAGAAAAAGACAGAAGGAGAAGAAATCATACGTTACAACTTCCAAAAAACTGATATGGAGACATAAAAGACTTTTGTAATGAAACAATTATAGAATATACACCAAAAACTAAATATAATTTCGGTACACATGAACTTCCCCCATTTATTGTGAGTTTGATTAAGAAAAAAAGGAAGATGTATCGTGAATATAGAGCAAACAGAGATCCAACGTCTAAAGCTTCAATTAATAAGTTTAACAAGAACATTCAGAATTTTATTCAAGAATACAGAACCCACAATTGGATTCAAATATGTGAAGCGGTTCATGAAAAGAGAGGCAAATCCTATTGGAATGAAATACGGAAATTATCCAAATACAAAAAGGATGGAATAAGTACTAAAAATATTATAGATAACAATAATGAATACAAGTTACCTTTCGAAAAAGCTTACATATTTGCTAAAAACACCCTAAGAAGATGGTCTTGTCCTCCAGTCACGCTTAACAATATGGGATCCCACAGACATATCATGTGAGATACCTTGGATTGCACTTGGACAAAAGACTTACCTGGCAAAAACATATTTTGATGAAGAGAAAGCAACTTTGTAATCATTTGCGAAAACTTTACTGGCTTATTGGACAAAAGTCTGAACTGTCTCTTGAAAATAAAATACTTCTTTACAAGATAAAACTGAAGCCCGTTTGGACGTATGGAATCCAACTGTGGGGTACTGCATCCCATTCAAACATTGAAATCATACACAGGTTTCAAAATAAAACATTACACATGATAACTCCCTGGTTTGTACCTAACAAGTTATTACACCGTAATCTACAAGATTAAATACAATCACAGTAAACATAACTACTGTTTTAACAACGAGGATGTGACCAGGTCACATATCGAGCGATAGCATCAACCAGCAACCAACTGCTGATGTTCCCAGAAAGGAGACAGATTGTAGTAAATAAATAAAGAAAATTATTGAAAGTTCCTCTGCCTTTATTATATCATTCGAAATGGAGGCCGTAGAGCACAAAAACGAAATTCGACAATTATAGTTTTTGCTGGATATTTCAGAAACGACCACTGATATTCTCAATCTGGAAAGAGATTATTCTAATTCCCCCAAAATAGTGAAGTTTTGTCCAATTTACTCGACTTTGTAGTCTTACCGAGATAGCAATAAAGGGATCAGCTAAAAGAATCTGTCTGTATATTAAAACTGCTAAATATACTTTGTTTTAATTGCACATTGAAGCAAAAATGAAATATTAAGACTTTATGGGGAATTCTACAGTAAATTTAAATTACAAAGAATGTCATACTCATATTGTGTCTATAATAACTATATGACATCTGACCTAGGTATTGGCAGGGAGATATGGCAGTTATTTCTGGTGTGTCTGAGATTTAATGGGTTATCATTTGATAAATGTCGGTTGTGAATCAAGCATACAGTCTCCATAATGAAAAGGCATGTAAGCGTAAGAATTTGATGCTTGATGAATAGTGGTCTACAGTGATCCCTTGCTTTGGCCTTGTACAAATAACGGATTGCTCTCTTTTGTAGAATGAACACAGAATTCCATAAGGTTTTCCTACAAAAACCCCAAAAGGGTAGTCCGTATCTAATATGGGATTCTATGAGTGAAAAATATGTGTTTCTGCCAATAGCTGTACCAAGCTCGTTTGTCACTACTCTAATAGCATAACAGCCNATTTGGTGGATACTGTGGGGCTCTTTCAACAACTCTGAGCTTAGGTCTTTCAGGCATTTCCACACCTAAATTATAAGAAAACTATATATCTATTCATGTCCATAATATTGAGAGAATCTTACCATCGTAATTAGGTGGAGGAGGATAATGTTTAAATCCTAATTTTTGAGTTATGAAAATAGTTGGTGCTACAAATCAAAGAAAAGTGTATTATTAATAATTTGATCACTATCTCTGTTCTATGTATTACCTCGTAGTATGTGCAATTTTTGAAAATTCATGGTCAAACAAACCAGCTCTGACTTCATATCCAAATTCTAAATGGCCCAAAAATCAATAAAGAAAAATGGGAAAACAACAGAAAACAATAAAAAAAAGGTATTTAAAAGTTAGGTTACAAAATTGTTGCATGGGACCAAACATGGAACATTGGAGCATAGACACAAGTTGGATGGCTTATGCTTGTGATTTGTGATGTCTAAAAACCTTGGTGTATCTACTCATACCTGTAAAAGTTTGGGACAGAATGAGATATTTATGGCTAACTTGATTCAACGATTATGGACATACAGGATTGCTTACTTACATATATCGCCACGTTAAACAAGCGCCGAGCAGATGTGACGTTACCGCTTTTAGTAGCTGCCATAAGAGTGTGTTATTTTAACATTTTTTGAGAATTATTTTCGGACAGTATTACATTGTTTTTGTATATTTTGAATAAATTTTCATTTAACTATACCAATTAGGTTTCTAAAACATTGAGTGTGTTATTGTGAAAGTCGTATTTTTTGTGCTTTGGACATTTTTTAAACTGGTGTAACGAGTAGACGCCATAGAAGACTCTGTTATTTTCTTCCGTTTTGAGGTTTGTTTTTCGCCATTGTGGAACTTTCTTTTGTTTTTTGAACATTTTTAAATTTTTGTAAGTAATATCAATAATTGTCTAACCATTAAATAACCTTGTAATTTTTAATTAAAATGTCTGGTCGTATTTGTGCAGTGTCAACTTGCAAAAGCAATCAGTTTACTTTAAAGAAAAGTGGTGTTACTGATGTAATATTTCACTCTTTTCCTATTACTAAGGATATGATTTCTACAACTTTGCAAAAAGAATGGATTCGTCGTTGCAAAAGAGGGGATAAATTCACTCTCAAAAATGAATTTGTTTGTTCTAAACACTTTTCAGAAAATGATTATGAACGAGACCTTGTGAATTTCGTGAATTTTTGAATTTGATATGTGACAAATTAAATCATGCCATTTTGGCGAATTTTATTATTAAAGACGTCATTACGAATCGTTTTTGAATACACGATCGAATACGATTAAGCGCCAGAAAACGCCTTTGGTTTGTTAATGATTTGAATTAATTTTTTAGAACTTAAAACTCTTCATTGAATCACCTTCAAAAAATATTGTTAGAAATTAAAGGGTGGTAGGCCTGTAATATAATGTAGGTATAGCAGTCTTCAGCATTCAACTGTGAGGTAGGTCTAAGAAGATATGGAATCAGATGAAGAACGTTTTCACTCTGTGGTATGTATAAAAAACCGTTTTTCACATCTGATGTTTTGTTAAATTATTTCCTAGTCACCTTTATTGTAAATTTTACTATTTTGGACTTCCATTGTCTAATATGTCATCCCGAAGACGATTGTGGATACTAACAATTGAAACCCCATGAAGTAATTTCAGATTTCAAATTACATTAGAACCGGACAATGGAAGTCCGAGCTAGTAAAATTCAGCATGAAACATTGTCAATCACTTTGAAACACCTTCATTGTATTTTATTTTTTACAAGGAAGAAGAGCCATACAATGGATTCAAGACTTTTCAATACACTGATCCATTTCTGGTATCAGGTATCTTAAGGTCAGTTGTGATGGAAGATTTAGAGGAAATTAAGCATTTAATAGCATGTGGACACTCTGTCAACATCAATGACAATAATGGAAATACACCGCTCCATGTAGCTGTGATAAAGAAAAAGTAGGCAACGGGGAATCTAAGTATATTTCCTTCAGTTATTAATGTTATATTTTCAGTTTGAGTATTGTAAATGTTCTCCTTGCTGAAGAACACATAGCCATAAATCACAGGAACTTTTATGGGCAAACACCTTTGTTGATTGCCGTGAAAAGTGGCAGTTTTGAGTTGGCACAGTGTCTTGTTGAAAATGGAGCCAATGTGAATCTACCAAACTATGACGATGTAACACCACTTCATTTGTCTGTTGAATTTCCAAACATCGCCCAATTACTAATTACAAATGGGGCAGAAATAGATGCTTTGGATTTCAGAGATGATACTCCCTTACATGATGCTGTAGGTTACTGTTATTTGGAAAGTGTATACATGCTTTTATTTTATAATGCAGATGCCAATATTCAGGGAGACATGAAGTCAACACCATTTATGAATGCTCTAATTCGTCAAGATTACGCTCTGCAGGAAGCTTTATTTGAATATGTGAATGATTTTAATGTGTTAGCTATAGATGGGATTAGTACTTTAGATCTGGCTCTGACCCATGATAATATTTTTGTTGAAGAAATGATTAATCGTGGAGCCAAAGTTGACTCATTATCTTACTTGAACTGTTTGAGGGTACCTAATCATGAAAATTTTAAAATTGTATGGAATAAACTGCCTCTTGAGGAAGCAAAATATGTTACTCTAGTGGAGTTGGTCGAAATGCTAGATGAAAATCATTTTTGTTACTACATGGATGTTATTATGGAAGATTCAGACCCTTTGATACTGTCGGAGATTGCAGAAAATATGAAGAGTTGTGATATGGCATTGATAGTCGATAAATACTTAAAATGTAAATGTGCCCTAGATAAACTAACAAAATTTATATTCATTATGCTTCAGCATGGTTACGAAATGGATAGCTTAGTTATTGACACAATTTTCTCAAAATATGAATACTGTGAACTGATCAAATTATTACTATTTATCGACTATGTTAGTGAATGGTCTCCTCTTATGATTACTACAAGGTTAATTTTTGATGTAAAAAGTGGTATGAAAATGGTATGCCATGAAGTTATGTCTGCTCATAATTTTTCGTCAAATTTAAGTTTGTTCAGAGAAAATATAATTAGTTCATTCAGCTACTGGGTTTATCCTCCTCTGGTAGAGTTATATAACACTATGAAACATGTTGAATTTAGAAATTCGGATGAAGATAAGTTTTCACATATTGTTGAGAACTTACCAAAAATGCCTTCATTACTTGAATTGGCTAGAGATAAGACAAGAGAGCATATTGTTGAAAGGTTGAAAATCACCACTACTTGTCAATACTATACAGTGATAAACCATCTGGATATTTCAACAATTTTCAAGAAAATATTGATGTTTGAGACTAAAATTTATCATTATTAAGATTTGCTCTGAATTCATGATTATATTTGAATTGAAGGAGTTATATTTTTAGGAGTGATTAATTTTGGGAAAGAAAGTTTTTTGGCGTCCTACTACTCCATCTTGATATATAAAATATGTGGGAATCTTCCAAAGAAAATATTTTCAAATTAATTACTTCCTTCCTTTCTTTGAAAGATTCCCACATCTTTTTTGTATCAATATGAAGTAGTAGAAAGCCAAAAACTTTGAAAATATTTTCAAATTGATTACTTCCTTCCTTTCTTTGAAAGATTCCCACATTTTTTTGTATCAAGATAGAGTAGTAGAAAGCCAAAAACTTTCCCAAAAAATGATCATATTGTTACGTTTTTCCCCGTGGGTTATCCAATAATTGACTACACTGAATAATCAAACTTGACTTTATTTCACTTTAAATACAATAAACGCTTCAACTAAAACTTCAACCATTATTTGAATGTCTATCGCCTTACTAGATCGATTCGCGTACCGCACTGTATCTCTCACTTGACTGTGGATATGCTCAAGGCTAGTGCTTATATATCGTATTCGAATGCAGGAGACATTTCGCTGAAGTTCCATCGAAATCGTTAGCATTATTCTTGCTGCTTCTAGAGCAGCAGGAACATTGTGCATTCGCGCGCTCTTAGCTAGGTCACGATTGGTTTATGGCTACCAGTGGCGGCCGGCATCATTTTCTTTAGGATATAATTTACAACACTACACCCTTCCCCGAGGTTGTTCGCCCCGAACAACATTCGACATCACGACCCATGTAAGGTCTCGGCTTCTCTATGTGGACAACTTTAGGCTTGCTTCTGGGTGACAATTGGATTCTGTACACCAGATCGTTCATCTTTTTGGTGACCAAGTAAGGTCCTTGCCATGGTGTCTGCAACTTGGAACACAAACCTTTCCGACGTTGAGAGTGGTAGAGCCACACTGCATCGCCTTCCTTGAAGTTCACTTTTTGTCAAATCTTATCTTCATCCTGTCGCTGAAAAGCTGTAAATTGGTTCTGGCAAAATCGTGTACAATTTCCAGTCTCTCCTTCAGGTCATTCACATACTCTGAAAGAGGTACCTCTTGAGATTCATCGAAAGGACTGCCACATAATACATCTATCGGAAGCTTCAGTTCCTTACCTGTTGACAACAAAGATGGTGTGTAACCTGCCGCGTCATGTTGGGAGCTCCTGTATGCCAACAGAAAAAGAGGAACCAATTTATCCCAGTTTCTATGGTGTTCGGAGACAAACATCGAAATGTAGTTATTGATGGTGCGATTATGCCTCGACCATTTCATCGGATTGTGTGTGTAGTGTGTATTTCTTGGGGTACCCCGTGTCTGGTAATTACGTTCTACAACAAGGCTTCTGCCACCGTTTTTGCCTCTTGGTTGGGTCCGGCCATTTGTCCATCACAACCATAAGGTACTTTTACCGGATGTGGTCATAGGGAGAGGTACTGCTTCAACTTTCCTCTTTGCCTTCGCTTCGGACCCTTTCTCGAAGAGCACAGGTTACAGCACTTAAACTACTCTTCCACGTCTCGACGGCAGTTGACCCAATAGTACCTCTCGCGCTCTCTCGTTAGAGTTCTATTTACTCCGAAATGCCCTCCAGTGCGACCATCGTGAAGCTGTTCGAGGATACGCTTCTTTGAAAGGTTCATCTGGAATTTGTGGGTTCTATCCGGGCTTTCCCATTACCGAGTGAGTAGGTCATCTCGAATGCTCATGGAGTCCAATTGGAGCCAGTAGCATATTTCTTGCTGGCCGTGCTTGGAAATCTCTTGCCATTCCTGCCTCACTCCTGCGGTAATCCATTCTCGTACAGTTTTCAAGGCGGGATCCTCCTTCTGCGCTACGATGATGTCTTGCCTCGTCAGGAAGGTAGTGTCACCCTTAGAAGCTGTTACCGACCGTACCACACCATGGTCAGGTAATTCCTCAAATTGTCTGTCCGTATCCCTGGACAAGGGACCCTTACAGTTTGTTACCCTCTGGGTCAGAGGGAACCCGAAGCGGGAGCTGTCCATAAAGGAGTCTCTGCCCGTTACCTTATCACGTTTGGTGGGAAGTTCTTCTTCTGATAGCTGGGTATCTCATTGTCTTCTTGGCGTTGGCAAAATTTGCATCCGGATGTCAGGCATGGTCTTCTTGAGAGGCTATCTGTATTTCCGTGACATTTCCTTTCCGATGTTGAATTTCAAAATCGTGAGTTTGTAACTTTTTGATGTACCTAGCTGTTTGTTCTTCTGGTGTTCTGAAGTTGAAGAGTGCTGATCAAAAATTTACGGCCATATAAAAAGGAGTGGCAATGATCCACCGCTTTGACCACTGCGAAGAGTTCTCTATTAAAGCAGTAAGTCCTTCATGAAATGCCGGAAATAGCTAAGGAGTCTTAGGATACTTTTTACGTCGTACTTGCTCTTCGGTGTTGGCCATTCTTGCACTGCCGTGATTTTCTCTGGATCTGTTTCAACTCATTTTGAAGACACAATGTATCTCAAGAAATTTACCTTTTCCTGGAAGAGGCTGCACTTCTTGGGATTGATCTGCAAATGAGCATTCCGTAGCGTCGTGAAAACACTCCTCATGTTTGACAGATGTTCGTCAAAACTTTTTCCGGTGACTATAATGTCGTCAAGATAGACCAAACATGTTTTCCAGGTAAGTCTTCTCAACACCAACTCCATCAAGCGTTCAAATGTTGCAGGTTCATTGCATAATCCGAACGGCATAAACTTGAACTGGTATAATCCATTGCCGGTGGAAAAGGCAGTCTTATCTTTATTCTCGGGGCAAACTGCCACCTGCCAATATCCGCTTTTCAGATTTAATATTGAGAATCATCTGCACTCGGCCAAGATGTTCAGGGTGTCATCTATTCTAAGGAGAGGGTAACTGTCCTTTCTGGTGACATCATTAAGCCTCCTGTAGTCTACGCAAAATCTCGTCGATCCATCTTTCTTAGTAACTAACACAACAGGTGACGACCAGGGGCTATTTGATTCCTCGATTACTCCTTCTTGCAACATGTTCTTAACAATGGATGCAGCTTCGTCTTGCTTTGCGAAGGGAAGACGTCTCGGTGGTTGGCGTATGGGCTTGGCATTGCCAGTATCAATGCGATGTTGAACTAGAACCGTTCGACCAATGATTTTGCCCTTCACAATCATATCGTTCCCTTTCCCCACGAATCGGGTGGCCTTGCATAGTTCTTTTTCAGACAGCTGATTCCACGTCTTCTTGAAAGAATCTATGAGTTCTTTGCAGGTTGTTGAGAACGCTGTAGAAGGACTTCTTCGATTCTGGTGATTTTCACGATAGGTTCGCAGGTGCCTAGCTATTACTTACCCTTTCTTGAGAGCCACCCTGTTATCATTAGGGTTGATTATTCCTTCTGGAATGGTCTGATTGTTACCATTCACGAGGGATCTGCCACGATAATTTCTGATTCAGAACCATTGAACGGCTATATCAATGCTATACTTAATCCGCCAGGTCCAGCAATTTCTGCTTGAATAATTTTCTTGTTGTTAGAAGAGATTCTGGAATCTTACAGTATAACCACCTTGGCGCTGTCATAAGGTTGAGAGGGTACGTCAAGCAAAATTTACTCATTTCCAACCTTCAACAGTTTCTTCCTTATGTCCACCACGAATCCGTAGCTTCTCCATAGACTGTCGATCTATCTCCAGTGTCTGTTTCCAGAACAGGTACTACTGATTAGTTCTTCAAACTGGTTCTGTTGGAAATGGCAGCTCTCATTACTGACCTCGTTGCTCCAGTATCGATGGGGAAAAGGCAGTAAAGATTATTCAGAAATCCGTCTACGACTGAGCTGTTACTGTTGTGTCCAATCATGGAAATCGAATACATGGGGGCTTGGGATGCAGCGGTCAATGTACCTCTCTTAACGCAGGCTGAATTTATTTTTTCCAAACCACGACGCTCCAGTTGCTTTTAATTTCGAACGCCAGTCTCTTCTTTCGTTGGATGTTGAACGAGATCGACAGTCCCGCCTTAAATGCCTTCTCTGCCGCAGTTATGACATTCAGGCCGTCCTCTTGCCTTGGGTGCAGTTCTATTCATCAAATATTTCTTGAAGAGTTTTTCAAGACCTACCATGAGTCGAATTGTTCCTTCGTCTTCCTTTTCATTGGTGGCCCTCACTAGAACTTTTCGTTTTTGTCGCGGAGCATTTTTAGCAACTTCAAATTCTAGGGCATAAATGATGGCTTCATTCAATTTTTTATGACGTGCCATACTCAACGGCTGCTGCAGCTCCGTGTCACGAACCCCACCGATGAAACTATGTACACTAATCCAGTGGGTGAAGTTATCCGATGTTTCTGGGTAGGCGAGTCTTACTAACGTTTCGACTTCAGCTTCAAACTCTTGCAAACTTTCTGATGGACCTTAAGTTCTCACCTTCAGTTGAGCTTGGTAGACTTGTTGAAGGTGCTCACTACAATATTTGACCTTCAAAGCTGATACGACTGCTTCATAATCCTTCTGCCTATTCACTGGAATATTTTGCAGAATTTCGGAAGCCTTTCCTCGTAGTGCTAGTATGAGAGCTGTTGCTTTCTTCTCATTTCTCCATCCATCATTTTCCGCAGCGGCCTCAAATTGTCTACGATAAATTGAACATGAAGATTCGCCATTGAAAGTTGGAGTTTCAATAAAGTGACTGCTAGAAGGGGAAGATGTCGTTTCCGATTTGCATTTTTCCACAGTAAACCTTTTTGGGTCCGGTGGTTCTTTGCGAAGTTCCCAGAAAACTTCTGCAAACCTTTTATCGATTCCTTCAAGCTTTTTCTCAAGCTCCTCTTCAAATTTCTTTTCAACCCCTCATCTTCTCCTTTTCAAGCTTCTCATCGACTGCTTTTTCTAATCCCTCACTTGGGAAGATTTTAAATCTTCCAATAAATGAAGGTACATCTGATTGTGTTTTTCCTGTTCTTCTTGAATATTCACCAGCACGTCTCTGTCTTTTTCTTTTTTTTTCCTGAATACCTAGTGGTAATTAATTCACTATCTTCATTTCGGCGTAATTGTTCTGCGATTTTCATTCTCTGCC